TCTCTTTCTCTCTCTCTCTCTCTCTCTCTCTCTCTCTCTCTCTCTCTCTCTATCTATCTATCTATCTATCTACGTATGTATCTACCTGTTTTCGTAATTTCATATCTATCTATCTATCTATCTGTTTTCGTAATTCCATATCTATCTATCTATCTATCTATCTATCTATCGTCTCAATCGATTTGATCTACTCTTAAGTTCACTAACGTACAGCTCACTCAATACAAAGTTCGAGAGCCTGTCAAGGAAGAGGGCCACAGGTAAAATGATTATTATCTATGAGGTTTATGATATGAATAAAACAAGAGGTGTTAGGAAGTAAAGATTACGAGGATAAGAAGGATAGATAACGATTGACACTTGACTAGAAGTGGTTAAGATTGTAGCATTCAGGAAAGCATACATGTGGTAGTCTGTTAAACAATGCAATAATTCTTGGGGGGAAAAACGCGTGAAACTTTCTCCCTACATTTGGAACATCAGGGTAATTTGACTCAATGGAAGTAATATGGGGTATCCTAATTGTAAAGGTTTGAAATTGTAAAACAAAAGAACATTTGCCATGGAAATAGCGATGAAGTAGGAATAGGCTTGCGACGTAGCAAAGAGTTTTCAAAATGGAGAATACGTCTTGAAAATGGAGAATACGTCTTGAAAATGGAGAATATGTCTTTAACATAAAGAATACGTCTTCAAAATGGAGAATACGTCTTCAACATGGAGAATACGTATTCAAAATGGAGAATAAGCATTCAAAATGGATGCGTAATCGATTTTGAATTCTGTCAAGGCTGGTAAGCAGAGGACGATGGCACCTTAGTCTTTTTTAGACTATCCCTCTTTGGACCTCACACACTTATACGCTGTATCACTTTCGATTCCCCGAACAGTTCGGGGTCACCATCAGTTTTTTCTCTACCCTAGCCTTAATCTTGTCCCGAGTGTAAATTTTTCTCCCCTTCAAAGGTAATGTTAGCTTTGGGAAAACTCAGAAAATACATGAATTGTAAGGGAAACGATCCCGATGTTTTACAAAAACAACTTTTTTTAACACGTATAGAAAGGAAGAATACAACGTCACGCAGTACTCAACCTCTCTCATTGATGTCTGATTGGGAGATTTTTCACGCATCTGTACTTAAATTGAGTATTATGTAATGAATATTTACGATTGAAATTCAGTTAACTATAACTTGCTATGCCGTGAATTTATTCATCCACTTTCAGTCTGAGAACAAAAACAATCTCTGTCCGGGGTATGACGATAAACATCATCCGGCAGCATGGCTTTGATCGGGAGATTGGAGGTTTTGGGAAGCGTGAAATCATCTCTTAATTTCTGTTGATGCAGGTCCACGCTGGCCCGGGATCGTAGAACCTGTTAGGCTCCCAGCTATGGGCAAATAGTTAACGCCCCAAACTATACCAATATAATAAACCAGCAATACATTTTTGAAAAAAAGAAATTACCAGAAATTAAATCTGATCTACAAACTTATTTCTTACAAACAATGCATATTCTATTCATGCGAACCTATCCTAAAAATCTTGTCGGCATTAAGTGACCCACTGAGATGTTGGTATGCCGTAAAACAAAATAAACCAAATAAACTCTCGACAAAATCCCTCTTCACAAGAATACGTCAATGAACCTGATCTACAAATTTATTTCTTATAAAGAATACATATTCTATTCATACGAACCTATCTTAAAAATCTTGTCTGCATTAAATAACCCACTGAGATGTTGGTCTGTCGTAAAACAAAATAAACCAAACTAAACGGAACTAAAACAACCCCGCCAGTACATATTTTGTGAAGACAAACATTTCATTCCAAACTTACGTCCAGGTTTCTTTTATTCTATTTCTTGTCTGAACAGCAGCGAATGTCTGTATCAAGAAACACGGGAAAAAAAACTTACATCAGTATTAAAACTTGATACGAAAATAGATATATATATATACATATCATGATAGCAGAATATATAAAATTGAGACTTAGATTTAATTTTGAACCAGAAATTTAATTTGATACAGTAAAGTAAAATCCATTGATATCTTTGTCTGGTAGATAAGTGCCTGTTGGCATTTATTCTAAATTTTATTAGTAAATTAAATTCTAATGTAAAAAAAAACATTCAGCAGTGAATAAAAAACGTTGATAATTCAATAATATTTTCGTTCAAATAATGTCTTTAATTAAGAAAACGTATTTGGTTTAACTCTCAACTAAGATGTTTCTAAGTAAACACGAAGTCTGTTTAGAAGTTAATAAAATGTTTTATCAAATGTTACATCCTAGTTTGCTCGTGCTGTTGAAAATGTCAGAATTTAAAATGTCTATTTTTCCAATTGCTATTAATTTAATTGGCTCTTTCAAAGACTCGGATTTTTCACTTTTCGACTTTGTAAACATCATGGAACAGTACACCATTGTTATAAAAAAAATAAACACTGCCACCCGGTGTCAACTTTAGAAAATAAATGACTTGGCATGCAAACGATTACAGACGAAAAATAATAAGCATCTTATATCTGTCTATATCTATGTGATTATTTACATTATTCGAACTGTTGTCCTCATCTTGATTGTCATATTTATAATGTCTCGGCCGTTGAAAGCTCCAGCCTTCTTCAGGTGGTTGGACTTTCGAACTGTACCCTTTATTTCGTCTAGATAGATTATTCTAGTTCCACGTGAAATCCGGTAGAGTTATGGCACGTGGAACTAGAAAAATATACCCGAAATTCCAATCAACTGACGAAGGCCGGAGCGTACAACAGCCGAAACACTTTTGGTGCCATATTCTTAATTCTGTCTTGAGAATTTTATTTTACTTACAAAAGTTAATATTAATGTTTCT